CTCCGTAATACCTGCCAGGTCCGCACCCCCCTCCGAAATAAGGTCGCAAATGAGGGGGGCTTTATTAACCACCGACCTGGCATTACACAACATCAGCCGCGGACCCAGGGCCTGAGACTCTACACAACCCAGGACACGAGTCACGCATCGGGGGCCGGAGTGCGCAATCGCTCGTAGACAGCGTATGCGCACCCCCGACACTTGATATGGCCCCCTGCGTCCGTCATACCTGCCCCTCCCACTCATTATTTCAATTTCACAGCCCTTCCTGTCATCCCCCTGCTTCCCGGTTAAATTTCCTTTCGCGACCCTCCTGCTGCAACTAATCGACCCATCATCCCGCTCAGTTACTATCTGGACCCCCCCCCAGGTCCGCTTTTACAACCCCCCCCTCCCTCCCGGGTCCCCTTAAAAAATTTTTAAAAAATTTTCCTAAAAAACCCCTCAACCCCCTCTTCGCTACATGCCATCTCTCGGGGTTCCAAAGCCCGTCATCAAGATAGGCCCTCGATAATGTGGAGGGCCAGGCCTGCGAGAGGGGGGAGTCTCGCAGCGCAAGAAGGTCGACTTTTTGGAGCATCAACCGAACCAGAGATGGGAAAAAGGCCAGTCCGGGGGTCTATTATAGTCCAAAGGGATAACTGAACATACAGATCACAAAATGTCCATTTGTAGAGCTGGACTCCACTGTCCTCTCACAACAGGGAGAAGGTCCAATGTTCTTTTTCTCCAACAGAGGCTAATAGCCAGCCATCCTCTCACGACGGCCGGTCCCGTTACAAGGGTTAACGGGAACAATGTTCTATCCTCCTCGTTGGGATACAAAAATCTCTCAGTTCTTTCAAATGGTGTTCAGTCTCTCCTACCAGCGAGGGCATGAGTGGAACATAGTGGGGGGGGGTCCAGAATGTCCAGAGCGTAGTAGTTCGTAAGCCCCTCCCCCCATGAAAAAGGGGGGGGAGGCAGGGGGAAGGAGGGGGGGAAACAATATCCCCAGAGGAGGGTAACATCTCTTCCTCTGCCGATCTATAAGTCCAGGCCTCCTCACTTCGGCTTCTCCTCTCCACTCTCAGCAAACTACCACTGCAGCATTCTGTGGCAGACGTCGCACCGGAGCCAGTGTCACCCCCCACCCCAGCACCATAACAGATGCATGGGGGGGGGGCAACCAGCGCCGCCAACTGGCCTCCACCGCCAGCACCGCCTTGGCTCTGCTGCTTTGAGTGGGGGGGGAGGGGGGGGCATCGCCCCACGGCCGTTCGTATCACCGCCGGAGCCACCATCCCCCTCCAGCCCCTCTTCTCCGATGGAAAAAAAACAAGGACCGCAGCTAGATGACTCTTTGCGGCCACGCCAAGCTGCTCCCACCATCGCTGCTCCCGCCATTCCCGCTGCTGCTGCCGCCGCCATCACCGCCGTTACTTTCTCGGCGCCCTCAGCTGTTCTTCGGCGCCCTCAGTTGTTTTACGGCGCCCTCACCGCCGCCACAACCTCGCGGGGCTCCAGGCAGTCCCACAGCGCCCAGGAAGGTCTCACAGCGTCGCCGCCGCCGCCGCCGCCGCTACCAACCCTGCGGCGCTCCGCGGCGTCCTCGGCGTCCCCAGCACTCTTCAGGGCCTCTCCCAAACCGCTAGCCCCTCGCTCCAACCATGATGTCACAAGGGAGCTAAAATCCTCCCCAGGTTGGGCAGGGGCTCTCCTCACTGGGGCTCGGGGTCGCAGGTGGATTTAGCGCCCCTACACCCCTCGAAAAGGCCAAATAGCCCCCATCATCAGATCGGGAGCTCACCCAGCACCGCCATCTTCGAGCATGCGCAGAATAGACCTTGACCTAACCAACCTTTAAGCTGTATGTTATTAGAATGTTCCTTTCTTCTGACAACTTAGAGGCCTCCTAGAGGAACCAAAAGGACCTTGGCTGAGTTTGTACTCTTTCCAGCCGGATGCATTGCTTTTTAGAATAGAGTGAATAGAAAGTTATCCAGTGGTCATCCATCAGAGCCCGCTTCATTACATTACTATGGCCTTTAACCACCATCCCAGGCCTTTTCATCTGCCCTAGTACTGCCACTACAGCTCACAAATATCATCTTGCGCCATTCTTCCTTTGCTGTCCAATGCTCCTGAAGATCAGCCACGTGCCACTTACCATCAGGCATTTTTCTCCTGCTGTGGAGAGACTTGTGTGGCCCATCTGAATCAGTTCCCTTTGCACAAGGCCTTCATTCCTGGAGCTGTTCACTCAAGGAACTTAGTTGCATGGAGCCACTAAGACTTCCCGAGTTGTGCAGAAGCCACTTCCAGAGGCTCCAGAAGCCTCCCATGACCTTGGAATGCCTTGGAAGATATTGGAGGGCCTTACAGGCTTTGTGAGAATTCATGAATATGGAGGTGCTACAATGGCTATAACTTCAGGCAGAGATTGTAACACACTTATTAAGAACCATTCTCCATTGTCCTGTAATTTTGAATGGTTGCTGAATGGATGTATGTTAGTCCAGGACTACTTGTATTCTATTTAAAACATACTGTAATCTTTCACAGGTTGGTTAGTGTTAAGGAAATTTTCTGTCAAGGCAAAAGACAATTATATTTTAATTTAAATGGAAGAATTGGGAAAAGTATATCAGGAACATCCATCCATCCATCCATCTGATTTTTACCCTGCTTTTATTACTTTAAAGTAACTCAGCAAACATATATAATACTGCTTCCTCCCCCTGTTTTCCCCATAATGACAACCCTGTGAGATGGGTTTAACTTGCTACATCTCATCATCACCACATGATGCAGTTTTATACATTTCCTGAATACAGATGCTTTTTTTTAATCAATCAGACAATATAGAAAGGAGAGGAAATCATAGAAGCAATGAGAGAAAGAACTTCTTGATGCAATTTAATGATCAGGTGATTGAGTAATTAAAAGTTGCTAGACACAGTGCTAACTTGATAAAAGTACAAAAGTCTTGTAAACAGGAAGAAACTTAAACATTGTATGCTTGTGGTCAGATATAGGTGAATCTTAGTTGAGCTTTGTAGGAGAGATTTTAATCTCTTCAGTAGCGGGAGAAAGATCCAATAATGTTGAGGAGGCATTGAAATAATAATGGAAAATCAAGGATCAGGGAACAGATTGGAAGAAATATGGATGCATACTTCCAAGATGGTCATAAATAAAACAAAGGAATGAGAAGAGGCTTTTCTTTTACAGTAATATAAGAGTAAAAAATTAACAGAAAAAAATATATAGCCATATAACATTTCCATAACATAAGTAAACATTAAAGGAGGACAGCTATGTTAGCCTAGAATGGCAAAATATCAAGAGATTGATAGCACTTTTTCTGAATAATGTTATTAAGAGATATACACTTTTGTGAACTACAGCTCACTTACTCAAATACATAAAGTGAATGTACAATGTACAATCAATTGATGTAGGTTTTAAATTGGTCATCAGCAAGACCTACATCAATTGATGTAGGTTTTAAATTGGTCACCAGCAAAATCAAAGAATAAATCAATAGAGCCAGATCAATTTCAAGAGGGATCTATTAAAGGACAGACCACAGAAACAGAATATTAGAGCCAAGACACTACAGGTTATCAACTACAGTTAAAACCATTTAAATACATTATGAATAGGTTATGGCCCATGTTCGACAATGACATGGCATTTTCTCAAGCACTGAGTGCTAAGCCCATACTTGAATATCCAGCCTGAATTTTTTTTTCAAAACCAACAAGAAAAAAGATAATGATGCCAATATGGTAACCAGATCCTGCAAGTAGATATCTTCTTTGATCTGTCCCCATGTATACTAAGAGCACCATCATACAAAAAGAAAATTAGAGATGCCTATGTATGCCATAATCTGCCAACAATGCCTTCTGAATTTTACATAGAATAAATTGGACAAATATTTTGCAAAAAAGGATTAATGGGAACAAGTTTGACATCAGGAATCAAAACAAGGACAAATATCAGAACATTTCAATCTTCCAACACACTCCATAGCAAACTATAAAGTGACTTTTTGGGAAAAATAGGATTTTAACAACAAGCAAAAAATTGCTGAAGATGCTTTAAAACAGTGGTTTTCAACCTGTGGGTCGGGACCCCTTTGGGGGTCGAATGACCCTTTCACAGGGGTCGCCTAAGACCATCAGAAAACACATATTTTCAATGATTTTAGGAATAATTTTATGGTTATTATTAATTGATAAAGTAGTTTTAATTTGTCTCACATGTAATATTCATGTTCATAATCAACCTATCTTCCAATTCCGCCGCCCCGCCCCCCTGCCACACACACTTTTTAAAAATTTTAATTTTATTATTTTTACACTGCCCATATCATATAAGTGTTTCTGGGTGGTTCCCCTACTACCACATCCCAGTTTCAATCCTCCTTGTTAGTCTTCCCAAATAGGCTAGAGAGGAAACAGATCAAATGAGCTAAATTCTACTTCATTGCAAGCCTATATTAGCAGAATCTTTCAAGTCTGAAAGTACAAATCTACCGTCTCTTTTTTCAGCCTTGCAAATCAAAGAGAATCCTTTCTGAGTTTTTTTTTCCTCTGGTCATTAAACAGCTATGGACTCTCCCCTCTTCTCTAGGCAACATCTCCCCCCACCCCCAAGGTCATTCCCTGGGCAACATCCCTCCCAACCCTGCCAAGATCATTCCCATGTACCATTTCATTATATTATGCCTCTGATAAAGTGAGCTGCAATGGACACAAGTTAGAAAAGGAAAGAAAGCATTGAAGGGGATTCTTTGTTCTCTATATGTCCCCAAATTCTTTAGTTGATCAACCCTCAAATGTTTTTGTATGAAAATAATGTAATAAATACTACTTTAACTATGAATAATGATAATGGCAACAACAATAATAAATAGTCCCTTTGATTCTTGGGGGTGGAGGGAAAGATCAATATTGACTACTTTGAAGAATTTTCTCCTAAATTATATTTTTGTGTTCTACTCCTTTCAGGTTACTCTGCTTCTTAATTCGTCCACTCAAATATATCTACAACATCACATTCACTGTGCAGGGCTCTGAGAATTTGAATATCAAGCAGTCATATGTGATTGTTTGCAACCATCAGACAAATTTTGATCTTCTTGGTATGTGGCTAGGCTATGTGCATCTAGAATGTTGTATGAGTGTTTTGAATTAGATTCCAAATGATTTGAATGTTATTAATGACATTTATTTATATTCTCCTCTCAATCTCCTTTCCCCATGGGTAGAAGGCAAGATAAAAACATTTAATCTAAGTAAAGAGAAGCTCCCAGTTTTAAAGAGATGTTTGTCCAACTAAAGTGAACATTCCTAAATCTGAGTTTTGCAATATTTCGATGCATCCAGATAAAATTGCAAAAAGTTTGCTCAGATGGAAATTATTGACAAAAGATCTATCTGCTTGATCTACTTTTTTAAATATATACTTGGCAAATTATTCAATATATCTAAAGGTAAAAAATCATGTGGCTGCATGCTATTAGAAATTTAACAATCCAAAGTTTATAAATAATTACCACTATGTGTGAACTTTCTACTGGAATTCTATTGATCTCTAAACAAAACAACAAGCAATTTCTTTGTATAGGAATGCATACCTTGATGTGTCTGTGGTTTTTCAGCATTGTATAATACTCACCCAGCCACCCCATAAATGTATGCATGCATCACATTATATGTTGTATTTACTTAGTGGAAACCACACACTGTTCAAGGCCATGAAAAAAACATACTGAAAGATTACTGATTAAAACTTATTATCTGTAAAATAAGGTAGCCCACTTAATACTGACTCCCATTTTGAAGTAATGGAAGCTGGAGCACCCCTGCAGTCATTTGTCTTAACGACTGTCAACAGGAATGCTGCAGCGGGTCCCTGTCTATCTCAACCCCCATCCCACCCCATTGAGTCCCCACAGACCTTGGGCCTGCTTTTTTCTCCCACTGGTCTCTATGAGCCTTAGACCTTCTTTCCACCCTGCAGGTCCTTACACCCTCCTCCCCTCCCCCACTGTGCATTTATTTTTCGAAAATAAGAAGAACAGGGGCTGTGGATTTCATGTTAGGGAAGAAGGGCAAGTCACTTTGTCCCATTTTGTCTCTGTGCTGTGTGGCTGCATCCCAGAAGTGGTTGCCATTTTCTGAGCAGCTACAAGGAATTGTGACTGATCTAAAAATGGTGGCTGCTTCTGGAATGCAATCACCCAGCCCAGGGACAAAATAGTCAATTCTGCTTCCCTAATGCACTCTGTGCAGCACTGCAGAAAACTTCAGAGCTCTCCACAGTATGGTACAGTCCATATTAAGGAAGCAGAGCAGACCATTCCATCCCTAAACTGCACAGTTGCAACCTGGAAGTGGCTGCCATTTTGGCATGACAACAGTTTCTTGTGGCTGTTCCCTTCTATGGGAATGGGAAAAAGCCTGCAGGAACCCAGTGGGGGGAAAGCAGGCCCAACACCTATGGGAACCCTGAGGGGTGGGAAGTAAAGCATGGGGTGGGGAAGACCTTGGAAGGTCCAGGCCCCATAAGACAACCTGTGCTTCACTTAATGATCTGCACAGTCATTTAATGATCGCAACAGAGAGAGCAAGGGTGATGACGATCACAACTTGCAACTATAGCAGGCAGACTCATGAGTAAAGGACTACGTGTACACACCTATATTGTCTTCTCTCCTTTCAATAGATATAGCCAAAAAGTAGGAGGGAAACAGAGAAAAGGAAAGAGAAAGAAAAAGAAGATAGACTAAGATAAAACAAGCATCTGAATGAGAAAAAAAAAAGGGGGGGAGTTCTATTACAAAAACGGTTAAATTCACCAGATAGTCTCCCCAAGCCACTGTCTCAAAAATCATCCAGTTTTTCAGAACAGTGTTTTGTACCACTTACCAATTTATTTGTTTAATATGTATTTCATAAACAACGATGACTGAGTTCATACAAATAAAACAAATCACATTATTGCTTACTAGAGTTTGTAAACACAGACTAAATGATTTTGTTTTCCTTTCTTCCCAACCCCAAAATTGTCTAGGAAGTTGATTTGGGAGATGTTAGGGAATAATACATCTGGTTTATTATAGCCTCAGTGAGGGTCGGTGTGAATGAGGAGAGACGGATGGTAACATCCGCGGACACAACACAGTTGTTCGGATTATTTGAGCCATTGCATTCTAATTTTATTTTATTTTATTTTATTTTATTTTATTTATGTATTTATTTATTCATTCATTCTCCCCCCCCCTCTTCCATCTTTTCTCTCTCTAGCAATGGCAGAGATCCTGCCAGAGCGCTGTGTACCAATTACCAAAAAAGAGCTGTTATATTGGGGGCCTCTGGGCTTCTCTGGTTGGTTATGCAACTTAGTTTTCATTGATCGCAAGAAGCAGCACCAAGCAAGGGACATCTTAGGACATCTTGCAGAGAGGATACAGCATGAGAAGGTGAGCACTGAGAGAGAAATTTGGGAATATGATTTTATTTTGGGAGAAGCATGAAAATGGGAAAGTTCCAATTATTGTTGGAAAACTGCTGCAACTGTTGGTATGGATTGTTCTTCAAGGTGAAAGCTATATATTTTGTCCATAGAAGATCCCAAGTTCTAGTATTTACAATTAGAAGGATCAAGTGAGAAGTCATTTTCTAACTGAAATCTTGAAGAGTCACTGCCAGCCAGAGAAAACTGAACTTGGCTAGATGGACAGAGAATCTGACCTGGTATATGTCAACTTCCTTTTCTCCAAGTGTTTTCCCCACTCATCTTCAATGGGTGGATGTTGGACTTTAATCCCTTATAATGAAAGCCTTGCTAGTTGAGGTTTATGAGTATTTGAATTCCAACCCACTTGGATGGCACCTGCTTGGGAAAGATAGCCATAGGACAATAATTTTAAAAACCTGCATTCTATATGTTCTAAAACAAATGTCCCTAAGAGCCCAAATTACCTTAAACCACTTTTGTCTGCAGAGGAAGGAGCCCTGAAATCAGGAATGCTCTTATGTATTATATGTGTGTATCTTTGTTAAAGGACCATTAGCTCTTTGAACCTACCTTGCTCACTTAACTGGAAGGACAAAGTGATATATGGATGCTGAAGCTTTTAGAGATGATTGCCTCCTCTATTTTTTCCTTCACTATTATTCTCAGCTTAGTTCCAATACAATTAATGGTGAGAATGTGAAGGAAGCTAATTTATGTTATCATCTTACTATAAAAATTAATCTCTTCACCACCCTTCTTTTATATAGCATCTTAAACAATTAGCCATTGAATATATTACACCTCAATGACCACACATGGAAGAAACCAATACATCTCATTATATCTGAGTAGTGATTCTGGATCTTTCATTTTAATACTAATACAACCTCTTGCAAACCTGACTGAATGTCAAAGCAGGATTACTGTGTTTCCCTGAAAATAAGACCCTGTCTTAAATTTTTTTGAACTCCGAAATAAGCACTTGGCCTTATTTTCAGGGAAGTCTTGTTATTTTGGGGTACATGAAGGAAACAAGAGGAAATGGCAGGGACCGGCTGCGCATGTGTTTAAATATTTTTGGGCAGGGCTTATTTTCAGGGGATGTCTTATTTTAGGGGAAACAGGGTACATCAAGGCAGATCTTGGATGGTGGATTGCTACCATGTTTCCCCGAAAATAAGACCCTATCTTAAATTTTTTTTGAACCCCGAAATAAGCACTTGGCCTTATTTTCGGGGAGGTTTTATTATTTTGGGGTGCATGGAGGAAACCAGAGGAAATGGCAGGGAATTAAATATTTTCGGGGAGGGCTTATTTTCAGGGAAGGGCTTATTTTAGTGCATGTGCTCAAAAACCCAATTGGGCTTATTATCAGGGGATGTCTTATTTTAGGCAAAACAGGGTAGGAAATCCTAGAGTTCACTAGATTGCAAAATTAGAAAAATATCCCAGAAAGTAGCATTGGCAAAATATTTTCATACCTGATGCCAAAGAAATAACACGAATATGTCTACATAATTACTGTTCTGTTTGGAGAACTCGGCAATAATGAGGAGGCTCGGCTGCTGAACTCAACACTTTATTGACCAAACAGTAACTAGTAACACCACAACCAAGAGTTAGATAAAAGACAACAAGCTGCTGTCTGACAGCTGCTTAAATAATAGCTGTCAGATCGGCGGTAACCAATACGATTGCAGCAATTTCCCGCTGGCTGCCTGCTCGCGTCTAACCCAATCAGAGCAGGGCAGCAACAAGGGAGGTTCCAGCGGAGGTCGTAAAAGTGAGGACTTAACAATTACCAGAAGCTCAACTGGCTTGAAGGACACAGTTCTGCCACTATTATCTCAATTTTGGTATTAAAGACACTTTATCTCTGTCTGAATAAAAGACAGATGGTGGTATTTAGTGCTTTAGAGAGAATAGAATAGAAATGGATGTGTGGGAAAATTTACTTCAGAGGAGTAAATGGGCAATGCTAGGGATTGCTAATATGGAGGCAAGAAAGCATCCAAACCATCTTGAAGCCTGGAAGAGATTTTCTACCTCTCCTCCCCTCCTAATATCCCCAGGTCTTTAACTGCTGCAACCTTTACCAAACACAGGAAGGCAATAACAATGTAAGTGTACTACTCTTGGACTGTGCCTTTCTGGAATCACAGATCTATTACTATGAGGGAAAAGATGAGTGATTGAAGTCAGGCATCACAAAATGGCTCCTCTGGAAAACTGGTCTGTTCCCAAAATGGCTGCCACGGTCCCTCACTAAACATCTGTTTACCCTTATCAAAAGATGAAAGAGTTGCTTTCCTTTCCCACCCAATGATTTCTAATATCCTTGCAGGCCCTTTGCAACATATGTTTCTCTCTTTCTTATTTTGAAAGAATGTTTAAGAAATGAGGTGGGTGGGGAGACTGCTGACAACAATTGAGTGTGATTTATTCATAGGTAGCATGTTGTTTATTCCTGGTGTGAGAGGATGAGTTAAGAGGAAAACTCCAGCTATTTTTGAGAAACAGTAAAGATGAGTAATATAGCCGACTTCCCCAGATTTTGTTGTGGTCCACCAGCAGCCTGTGGAGCTGGCAGCAAAGTTGGACAGTGAGGAGGCTGGGGAGGAACATGGGCTAGTCCTGGAGTCTGGAGGGGGCTCGGACAAGGGCTCTGTGTCAGAGGCAGACATGGGGCCAGGGCCATCTGGAAGTTATGCGCGGACTCTGGAGCCTCCAGAGTCGGAATAGGAGGAGCCTGTTCCTAGTGCGTGCGTGCACAGAGCTGTCAGAAGGCAAGAACAGTTAAAACAAAAGGGACAACTTGGGAGTAAGGCCTGGAGATGATTGCCCCCTCCCATAAGGCTTAAAAGAGGAGTAAAGGCACATGGACCCTTTGCAGGAAAGCAACGTTGTTAATTCTGTTCACAGTCGGCATCTCTGTTTGATTCTGGACTCTGTGTGGCTTTGTCAAGTAGGTCTTTGTCAGAGTGTCAAGGGAGATAAAGGTTGGTGATTGTCCCGAAGGACTGCTCCCAAAGGATTTTTTGCAACTAATTGGGACTCAGCTGTGAATGAACGTAATTCATAGCTGTTGCAATAAAAGAGGTTTTTGGGACTACTCATGTGTTTTAATGACTCAGGAAGCCTAGATCACAACAGATTTCCTGACTTTTATCAATTCAACAGGAAGGCTGCAGAGAACCTCTACTTATCTATTTTAAAAGCAAATGTCCTCAATATTACTCTTTTTTTTATTGGGACCTATTCATTTGAAGGTTCTTCCTCAGGACTTGAGCCCATTTTTCACTCCTTCCCTCCACCATTTCCCATTCAACCTGGGGCTGTTAGCATAGGAAGTAGTAGATTGAGAAATGAGCTGGACTGGGCAATGGGCATGCCATTTCTTTTCTGGGTTGTAGGGCAATTCTTTAAACAAAATAGCTGAATAAGGGCTGGAATGTTTTCAGAAGATAGGCTGCACAGTTCAAATTGTAATTGGTGGTCTTTTTGTTTTCCCCTGCTGTTCACTAACTCAGCTGAGGATCTGGGTTTATCCAGAAGGCACCAGGAACCGAGAGGACACCATGCTTCCCTTCAAGCGGGGCGCCTTTCACTTGGCTATAAAGGCTCAGGTAAAAAGTTCCTGATAATGATGTTGATGCTGTGTGGAAGAGGGAAATTCTGATTCAGTATTGCAGAGTAAACCAGCTAGGAATCACAAACATAGGAGTTAATTCTACTTTTTTGTAATGCTACATTGACTGAATAATCTTACTAGTCTGAAAGTACAATTCACCCATTTCCTTTACTGTCTCTTCTGAGCTTCTTGCCTACTATCCAGCTATGGGTTCTTATCAGACTGTGGAAGTGCCTTTTGCCCAAGCTCCCAATGTCTCTCCCATTTTCCATTACAGATGTCAAATGCTATAAATACAAATGTCATAAATACTATAGTTCAGATTTAAAGGTGGTTAGTAAAATACCTTTGAGAAATTGCAAGTTTATATGAGTAAAATGAAATTACCTTAAATTACTTTGTTTCCATTCTTTCCTTCTTTTCATTTCAACATATGGATAAAAGCTTAGTTGAGCAGAAATAAAAGTAAGATGTCCTCAGGTGGAGTTTAACTCCTGATGACACATCTTGCAATTATCTTGGAACAATACAACAGTGGTGTAGCTTTGCCTCCTCTCAAGATGTTTTTTGACTTCTAAGCCTGTTAGTTCCCAATCCTGGGATTTCTTAGTGGTGTGCCTTCAACTACTAACCTGAACTTTAGCTCTCAAGCCTAGGCACAGACTTCCAGGTACTGCTGAGGCATATGCATTAAGGCAGGGCATACTTCAAATATTATTTGGAAAAATGCTTTGGAACTTGCATAAGTGTAATATCTCTCTTCATTGAAGTAGCACCTCTTTTCAGATTCATGTGGGCTATTTTTATGAATAGCAGAAAGGTGCCATACTTGTGTGAGATCTAAAGAATTTCTGCCTAATCATTTTTGAAGCATACCTATGCTTGATAAACATGACAACATATATAAAAGCTTATTCAGAAATGTGTTATAAAAAGTTTGTGGCATTTCAACATCCAATACATTTTTTTTTGCTTGCTTTGTGATTCGAATAACCTTCAGATATCATCTCTCATAATTCCTACTCAATATTGCCATATTGACTGGGAGTTACAGGGCTTGTAAGTTGAACCAATAGGATCTCAGTGGTTTGAAGAAAGCTGTCATACAGTAAAAGTTTCATGGAGTAGCACCCACTTCACCTAATACATGAAATAGAATTAATTTCCACAGAAAATGGAGAAATCAGATTTATTGACTTGTTGATCTTAAAATGCCTATTCCTAATCAATTACAAGTACTATCTAAAGCTTTATAATCCTGTTCAGAGAAGGTTTAAACTAACCTTTACCTATCTGGACATTTTCCAGATATATGGACTCTAATTTCTAGAACTTTCAGCAATGCCCACATTGGTGAGGGAATTCTGGAAGTCCACATATCTATAGATAGTTAGATTAGTGAAAGTTGTTGTAAAATTGTGGCTGCAGAAGACTGTCACAAGGGAGGAAAAAACTCATGATGTATTTCTCCAACATTTTATCTTTCAACTGCCTTTTATCCTTTAGGTTCCCATTGTCCCCATTGTGATATCTTCTTACAATGATTTTTACAGTTTCAAGAATAAGAGATTTGATCCAGGTAAGTCTAAATGGCAAAGAACCATGCCTAGGTTTTTCTTTTTAATTGCCATCAATTGATGTGTCTTGCTTAGAAAGAGATAAAAATTCTATTCACCCATTTTGATTATGGTGATATACAAATTTGGTAGATGAATAGTTCTGTCTACAGAAAAAAAAAAATCATCCCCTTCCCCCAAAGGACAGAGATTTGTATGACATTTCCACATAGTAGTTTACATATTTAGGTGCAAATTTAGAAAATTTTGCTTATAGTTTAGATAGCAGTGACAATGGCAGTATTTGTGAAATTTGGATTATCTACAATATGCAACAGATAGAGAAAACTAACGTAGATTCCCCTATTGATACCCATCATATCCCAAGATCCAGCTCATTTCTTCTATCTCTGTCCTATTACTTATTTTAGAATCTGTCTGTCTGTCTTTTTCTCTCCCTCACACTAATAAAACAAACAAACAAACACAAACCTGGACCTTTAACATAAAACATTTTTAATGTATGCAGTGCGCCCAAAAGCAAAGAAACAGACACTTATATTCTCTTACAGCACTAATTTTCTCCCAGACCTATAACTGTATTTTATCATATACTCCAAATTCAAAGGGCAATATTTATTCAATTTAGTCTCCTTTGAAAAAGACTCTTGAATCTTATGGTGATTACTGGTTATAATTATAAAAATATAAGTAGAACATTTCTGGTAACTATATCTACCCCTACCAGATTTGTATGTTAGTACATAATCAGGATTCTAACTAAAATACGGTAGATCAAAATGCTTCCCTTGCTGAACATTTAGGAGCTGGAAGTATCATTCAGATATCTACACATTGATCCTCATTTATTTATGTTTACTTTTGATATAAAAAAGGCCTTTTCTATACAAACAGCAGACAAATTGATAAATCTATTTCTAAATGTACCCAGTTAAATAAGCTTTAGTAAAACAAATCTTGGTGGGAGAAGACTAGATAGAGAATTCTTGTCTTTTCTTTCAAAAAGACCTTATGTAATTTTTAGGCTCTGTAGGAAAGTATTCAGGCTACCCTTGTTTATATTCCAAAGTGCATCCAAATACAGTCTAAACATATGAGCTTTTTATCTAAACTATGTTCATTCCAGAATTAAAGCAAGCTGCAGCCTAATATCCATGCTAATAACTATTCAAAACTCTTTCAAATATGATGCCTATGTGATATAATTCCAAGATGTTTCTTAGAAAACATTCTGTAATTTAAAAATTATCTGCATGTGCCTTTAACATCAGCTTCAGCAAGAATATAGTGCTATTTGTATGCCATTCCTATCTCTTTCTTGAGCAACATAATCCTTTCTGGAAATATTCAATTTCTACATCAGATTGTCTTTTGTTTTTCTGTCTCTCTTTGATCTCTAATAGGTAATATAACCATTCAGATTTTGCCCAAGATACAAACACAAGGACTTGACTTACAGGATATTTCTGGACTGGTTGAAAGCACTCGCAGATTGATGCAAGACACGTTTAATGACATTTCTGGGAAGATTGTGCAGAGAAAGATGAGAGACAATGAGTGCTCGTGATCATAGAAGCCTCAGAAAAAACACTGGTCATGATGGAAGTAAAACAAGAACATTTCTCTCCTAAATAAGGCCAGGAATTACCCTGAGTTGGAAAAAGACTAGCACTACCTTGTTACCTTGCTATAAAAAAAATATTAACTACATATAATCTCTTTTGGATCTTTTCCAAAGAATCTATTTTGGAGAGGATGCTTACAATAAGAGGAAGATCTCCATGTCTACTTAAATCCAACATCACTAAATATGGTCTGTTTGAACATATACCTGCCATCCAAGACTTAGGTTATAATAAGTAGTTCAATAATAAAACTTTACTACTGAAGATAAATTAATTTGTATAAATGCTAAAGTTGTGAAAAAGAGGTGCTGTAAGTCTCCTAAGATAAAACAGCTGTATCTAGTTTGAATGAGATACATTATTTGCATCCAGGAAATTATCATGGGAAAAATCTGAGCTGAGTCACTCAGCAGAGCTGAATTAGGCAATGCAGTCAAATCGGCAAAAGTGTGTCACCAAAATGTTATCTTCCAGACTTCTTGCCTCTTTGCCTCCTCCTCAAAGTATCACTCTGTACTATTATGTTGCAGATTCTAGCAATGTTCAGACTTGCCATTTGGTTGGAAGATTCCAAGATGAAATGTTTTTTGTATTTCCACATTCTGTGAGCGAAAGCCAATTGTATATAGCTTGTTTTAACTGGCTACTACTGTATTAATCTTGTACTTTTTGTGTTTAGATTTATAAAATTGCTGGATCATATTTTATTCTTCTCTTCAAATGCTTTGGGCAGGCCAAACAGTAGAAGTAGAGAAATATAAATATATTCTGAATAAATGCAAGATGCATTATTCTCAGGTATTTGAGGTTAAAGAGTGATGGGAGCCTTAAGCAGACTTGTAAGTTGGCTGCAACTTAAGAGGACAGTTTCTATAAAATCATAAAAGAAAGGTTAGAGTTTATCACATTTGGAAGGTAAAGGTTCAACTCTGAAATTCCTAAAAGATTCCACTTAATTCTTTGAGGGTTTGACTCTCCTTTGAAACATTTTCAGCCTTTAGTTTCTTATTTGAAATTAAATCACTAAACAAGCCCTTGGAAATATTAAGGAAAAACTAACATGGAATACAAGCTGTCTGAGATCTAGTATGTCCTAACTCTGTTCCGGGGCTGAGGCTAGAAGAGATCTCTGTTGACAGTACATAGCACGGAAGAACAATTTTTAAAATACCAACCCAGCAATTAAGACTCTTCTCATATTTATTATCAGAAGATCTCTTATCTGTGATCTAAAGGGCCCAGATATGAAGTATGAAGTTTTCTTCCTTGTAATAATGGATATAGCTCAATGTCACATGTGAATCAGGTTCTCCTCAAAAAGCAGGTCTTGGAGTAACTATGTTGATAATAATTGCAAGACAGAGCTGGCAATTAAGAGTTGTATCTGATATGGAATTGCAGGTTAGGTTTAGGTTTAGGTTTTATTTGATTTGTATACCGCCCTACTCCCGAAGGACTCAGGGCGGTGAACAGCCAACAATAAAATACATAAATACACAAAATTTAAAAACCCGATAAAATCAAATTAAACTTTTTGGCCCAGACAAATTAAAATACCCCAATAATTTAAAAACAGATTAAAATTTACATATTTTAAAAAGGGAAGAGAACAGGCCAAGCCCGCTTGATGGAATAAAAAGGTCTTCACAGCACGGCGGAAGGAACGCAGATCCGGGATCCTCCGTATCTCCGGGGGGAGCTCATTCCAGATGGTAGGTGCCCCCACAGAGAAGGCTCTCCCCCTAGGGGCCGCCAGTCGACACTGTTTGGCTGACGGCACCCGGAGGAGTCCCTCTCTATGAGAGCGTACTGGCCGTAAAGGTGAACTTCCTGTTATATTCAGAAATTGTGTTGTATTAGCATTACCCACTGCTGTACTAAATGAATGGTTTAATACAGAGATCGGGACTTTATATTATTTTAGAGTGAAGGTATTTCTTAATTCATAGAGAAAGGTCATGTCTGAAAGGCTATATAAGAACTTTATGCTTTTCAGGTCAAGTCCACTTTAGAGACATAAAATTAAAAGAAAAAGAAAAAAATGACCCTCTTTTTTATCTTTTATATCTTGATAAAGAGTATTTGAAATTAATTGTTAATTTTGTGGTACTTTTATTATACTTTATTTGTAATAGAAAACACAATATGATATGGAAACAAACTGGCTGTCATAGATTGTTTCATGAAGGCCTTTTAAATTCCTTTAAAACTTAGTCTTGTATGCTGATTTTATATCAGTCTTTTGAATTCACCTTTCAAACATTTATATTTTAGCTGTTGACACTCATATTAGCAACAATGAAGAATAGCTATCCTTACCACTTAAACAAATTTCTTACCGTGTATTTACAAATAGGAATTGTGTGCGCGCACGTATGTAAAAAGAAAAGATTCAACTATTTTGTGGTGGAGGAGGTGCAAGAAGCAAAAGGTATGCTTTAGATATGTGTACAGTAATCTTGGAGCAAGAAGGGACATAGCACATCTCCAGTGATTTATTAACTATGCAGTGAAGATGGGGGCCTGTTGTTCAGCACAAGTTTTCAAGCAAGGAGATCTAAACTTGGTGCTTTTCGGACCTGGTGCTATTTCGGATATGAAATAGACACCGCACATCTTTTTCTAAGATTACCAGAGGTAGGGGACCCTGAGGCATTGAGATAGGTATAGAATTTGGCTGCTGTTGTTGTATCTGAGATTGGTTAGTTAGGACACTATTGGAGGCACTATGCAGAAACAAAAAAAAAATTCCAAGCTTATTTTTTTTTTTTTTTTACATTTTAATGTAATATCTCTATTTAGCCACAGTATTACCACCCATATCTATGTAGGGCATTTTTCATTGTCAAGCCTCAGGAACAGAAATTGCAGAGACATTTTCACATGGCCACAATTCAGTATTAAGCATTGAGCCGAATCAGGCCAAGAGGGAAATCAAACATAGATCCAAAAGATCCTGGACCTTTTGGGACTTGCTGATGGGGGGTATTTTTATGCATCTTTTCATCAAAGAAAATAAAGAAGTAAAAATTAACTAAAAAAACTTCTCTACTGTTTCCTAACATAAGACTTACAAACAATATGAAAGAAGGAGGGCTCATATATATATATTCCTAACAAATCGGCTACTAAGCACTATGAGAAGATGGTTT